CGATCGGCCATAACTATCATGCGGTTCTCCCCACTTGGTTGAGGTCTTAACCTGTGCAGTCGCTCCGGTAGACTGCGACGTAAATTAGATTTTATATTTTAACTATGGCGAAGGGGATGTGACAGTTCGACCGTCGATTTTGACGATGTGCACCGTATACTTCAGAGTAGGGTGATGGCTGGGACGGTGGCTTGCGCATGACTTAGTTTATAATGATGGTAGGCTTGCTGAGCACCGTCCCCATCAGTATCCGATGTCAAGACTGGAGGGGGGAGAGGACGCGGTTGGCTGATACGACGAAGACCCGCGCCTAGGCGTACCACCACATTCCCTGGCCCAAAACGGACACTGACCAGGATTCTACACTCAATAAAAGAAGATCTGGAAGGGGAGGGCAGCTCGTACCCTACATAGTGGTAATGTCATAGAGGCCACACCAAGAAGGGGCCATTGTGGCCTGACTCTCAGTCCACTAGTCCGCTTCTCTATAAAACACACAATGGGCTGCCTGCGAGGTCCGAGATTAGTTGGTAGCCTTCCAAGTCACCACTTTTGGCGCACTGTGGTAGCTTGAAGAGCGTCAGATCGTTTATAGTAAGGAAGTTGTGCTGAGATGTCGACCTCTTTACTCCCAGCCGCTGTCCGGACCGGTCAGATGCCTGATGCATGGAATGGGTGAAGTGGCCGACAGAGCTAGAGGGCTCTCTGCGCGTGCCATACACGGCCTGGCCCCCAATATGCACACACAAGGAGTAGAACGCACGGATCTCACATGCAGCAGAGGAGCAACACGGAGGAAGGGACCGAAAAGCACGCTTTCCACTTGCTAAGAGGTGCCGGTGATGTGCGGTAATTGAGATGCTTATGCGTGGTGCATGTGTTGATGGGGAAATGCCTGATGATGGTCATGTCTGCCGCGATTTACCTCAAGTTTTCATGAATACACATGCGACCGAGTAGACCCATGCTATAGCTGAATGTACGGATGCGGTGCGGGTGGTTGAGGCAAGTGTGGTGGGTGTGTCGGTGCTCCAGGCACTGGTTCGCCAGTCCCTGTGCGATGGATTCCCAAGCAACTGACCAGGCCAATGCGTGAAGTGAACGTGCGGTGACGGCGTGAGCAGGATAGGTTGTGGGGTGTTGAGTCGGCTGTCGGTGTGGCGCCGCTAGTGGTGAGAGCGCTGGTCAATAGGGAGTCGATAGAACTGGGGACGGGAGGGTATGTAGATGTGCAAGATGCGTTGTATATGTCGATATTGCGGTGAGTTCCGCTAGTGCGGATACGCAGATGACCGAACAGGCCCATGCAACGAAGGAATGTGTGGACAACAAAGGCGGATGTGACGAGTTTGTTAGGGCTTCTGGCACTGGTGCGCTGGTCACAGCGCGATGGATTTGCAAGTTATCGGCCAGACCGATGAGTGAGGTGGATGTTCTACCGCAATTTGGCCAGGCTAGGACGGAGTCTCCACCGCTGGGGATGGGGGGATGATGGTGAAGGTGGTGGTTGGTGAGTCGTCGGGAGAGTCTTGTTCGGTGGTGAGAGTGGGAGCTGTAGTGGTTACGGCAGCGGTCATGGCAGGAATGATGGAGATGGCGGTGACCGACGGTGGCGGGGCTTGAGGATGTCGAGCATCGCGCTGAGGACGGTCGTCGTTGCGGTTCACTTCATAAATGGCTGCTGTAGTCAGACAGTGTAGTGAGGTTTCTTATGAAATTTGTGTGCTGGTGGGTCCCAAACAGCCGCCTGGATTGTTGGGTGTTGTCGCCTATAGCGCTTTGGCTCAAGAGCTTAACCGTAAGGCAGCGGTGGCAAGAAAACGTATTTATTGACGGTTCGCGGTCGCCATGTCACAGTGCCGTCATCGAGCTTTGGGGCTCTTTTATAAGGCCTTCAGCGTGCCATACCTCAGCGCTTTGCACCGCGGTAGCACTGTTGCTGTTGTTCCGCAACCGCTTATTCCTCAGATCCGAGTCGGTATATTTTTCAAATAACCTTCACTGACGGCCATCCCACTATTCGCTATCTGTGGGCCCGCCGAGTAGCCAGCGGCTAGGCTATTACCGCTCCACTACTGCGCTAGTTCTGGTCCATACCGACATCTCTCAACCGTTCGGTATTCGATCAAACGTTTGACAAGGTTGTACCTAGTCGCTCATTCTGTTCAATTATGCCATTAACTAGATTTTCGTGAATGCTCTAAATGAGGCAGACGTTTTTGAGTTTGCACCCGGATACCGGCTGACTGATCTTGAGTAAGCCGATGATATCGCCTTACTAGCTTCAAGTTTAGGTGATCTGCAGCCTATGGTGTCAGGAGTGGGCAGGGTCGCTAAATGTGTCTGTTTATCCATAAACGCCGGGAAGACCAAAGTGTTTCAAAGCTGCATCCCTGACCAGGAGAAGGCACCTCTCGGGAATGGTGGGTGTCAACTTGAAGTAGACAGTTTCAAATATCTCAGGCGATGCTGCTGCCGAATGGACAGAGTGAGGACGCATTGCCTCCCGAATCGTTGTTGCTCCTCGGGTTTTTTCAAGCCTTAGAAAATGCCGATGGATCCGACGCGACATCTCTATCGCCTCGAAGGTTCGCTTGTACTTGCATCCATCCCGCCGGTCCTTCTCGGGGGTTGCGAGTTCTGAGCTCTGCGCGTGGAAGACGGACAAAAACTGGAGGTATTTTGCCACCACTGCTTGAGGACCATCCCTCGAGTGAAGTACACTGACCTCTTCTCAAATAAGACAGTCCGCACTTGCTGCGACATCACTGCAGGGATATTCCAGGTCATTTAAGAATGACTGATGTGGTTTTGGCACATCCTTTGTCGTTTACATCACAAGCTCGATGTTTCTGCCCTCGATCCGGCACTGTTGCCAACTTGGAGGTGCCGGAGAGGGAACCAACTCAAACCTGGCTTGAAACAGTCCGTCAAGACAAGGAAGTGGTTTTTGGGCCTTCGGTACCCGGTCTTCGTCGCTGTCAAGGAGAACGGGTTAAGCTGCTCAGAGGTGCTACTGCGGATCTTCACACATAGTGGGGTACAGTTCGTGAGACCATCGAGACCGACCAGATTAAACATGATCGCAGGCGTACCAAGTTCAAGTATAGATGGCTGCTCCAGACTTCACTGCTCTTCTCCAGACCAGTCGGACTTGTGTGTGTTACGGTCTGCATGGGCCGGATCCTGAGAAGATGTCTGTAGGTGATGCTTATCCCGCGGTGCTCCTCACGGCATACGTCCATCAGCATGACAGAAAACATTGGGGCAAAGAGGATCGGGGCGAATTTTTAGTCATGATTCACCCCCACGGTTGCTACAAATGCTTCGGAAACTATCGCGTCCGTGACGCGCGCAAACGTCCTTTCGTCTAGCTGACCCACCATATGCGTGATTCGCTCAGGACGGCTGAATTTCTACATGATTTTCCACAGTACTCAGCGATTCCTCATGTAGAAGGCCAACGTCATGTTCGCAAAGATAGTGCAGAGGTGGGTCTACATTTCCGGGCGTTTGCCTTGCAGCTGGCCCAGGCCGAAGACCATGTTAGTGATTCCGTAGTGACAACGGAAACCACACTGGCTGTCTGGGAGAACTCATTGTTCGAGATGGACATTGAGAAGGTCGAGGGGATGCGAGCGAAGATCATCTTGACGATGTTGAGCAGGGGGAGGTCCCTGTGGTTATAACAGAGTTCTTCGTTTAATTTCCATTTGTAGAGATGGAGGATTGTCACACCCTTAGGGAATTTATTTCAGAGATACGTCTTCTGGAATAGCACTATGAGTAAATATACCAGATGGGAGCTGCCGAACTCATAGACTTCGGCATGAATTTCGTCGGACCCGGGGCTATGCCGTTGGAGAGTTTGCGCAGAACTCAAATATTTTAGGAAGAGAGGGCGGCAGATATAGGCTCTTTTTCGACTTCACTTTAGAGATTCGGCCGATGGCGACGTTAGAGATTGCGGATGGGCGGTTAAGGACAACTCTCCCACGATTTTCGATCCGAATATCGACTGCAATCTGAACTCTGCCCTAAGCTAAGAATTGAACTTTAATCTCCGCCTCCTACAAACAGCACAAAAAACATGTCTTGCTCAAGACCTCTTATCTCCAATTAGACTACGTGAAGGACAGCAAGCCAACTGTCTTGACCTTGTATAGACTGAAGCGTCTGAGAGAGTCGATGTCGTAAACTGTCTACCCCTCTTGGCAAAAGTGACAGCGTAGTCATACAAAAGGAACATTTACTCTTTTGTGCACCTTATCGAATCATCGCGATCAGACGCAAAATATGGCATGGAGATATCAATCAATTGAAAATTGACTGACGCTGTATAGACTGGAACGCAAGATTCGCCGGGAGTGTTCTCGAATATTGGTCTGAATGTAGAATAGAATAGGTTAATTAAAGCAACGCTTATGCACTGTCAATCTCCTTTGAACACAGGCAAATAACCTAAATCATACTCATCCATTTCAACTGCACTTTGGCTTCATTAGTTGTATGTGACCGTTTAGTCAATAGGGCGCAAATGAAGAGTTTGTTTAAAGCTAAAAGACCTGAGTTCCAAGGCAAAATAATAGCACAGTTTGAAAAAGTACAATGTATACAACATAGAGATTGACATTTGGAGTTTGGCAGGACTTGAGGTCATGATTATATCGCCATTCGTGTCATTTCAACGAAGTAGTTCAACGAAGGTGTCTTTGTTAGCTGAGTAGCTGCCGTCGTTCATAATATTACTGGCTGGTCCCACTGAAGCAGCATATTTTTCCGAACTACTTTCCCTTTAATATAGCCAGGTTATGTTCGCCACTTTTCAGTCTCGATTTTAACTCCAAGACGAGTTTCTGGCGTTTCAGTCGTTCCGCTGGTAAGTAGTCCGGTTGAAAAAAACCTGCTTGTGTTTATTACCGAGGTCGGTTTTTTGGAGAGCATCAACTTGATTTGTACTTTGTTCTCCAGCATAATTTTAAGAGAGCGATGTGTTAGTGCTGCGGTCCTGTCTTCACTCCATTTTCCTATCCGGAATGCCTTCCGGACCTTTATTTTCATGTCTGCCTGGAGAACTTGGTTTGGTAGACAATGAAAAGAAGCAAGATGCTCCGAGATACGGTCTTCTGGTCGGACTGCATTTCATTCAAACAAGCCCTGAGTAACCAGACACTGTTGTCCGTCACGGTTATCCTTATTTTGTATTTCCAGTGAATTCTCTGCATGTGGGCGAGGACGATTTACGGAGTCGTCGCTTGGACGCACACTTTTGCTGTCAACTGACTGTCCCAAGCAATATATCAGGGCTGGTTGTGAGTTCAGACACCTGTTGTTGCGTTTCCTTATCCCCCCACCTACCAACGGGTTCCTCTTTTCACATTCAAATACGTTTTCTGTAGGGCATTTGGGGTGGTTGCGAGAGCAAGAAGGTAACAGTACTGGTAAGGCCTAGTTATATCGTCTCTAGGCAAAAGAGAAAATTCGTTACTTTTAGGAAGAGGCTTAGGCGAGATGGCTTTCGCGACAGGTAATTTGTTTGTGACGTCGCTCAAGTCATCTTGGGTGGGAATCGAGTCTGCCCTTATCAGCGGCTTCGTTTTCGGTGTCCTGCTGTGACCGGCATCTGCGATTGTAGCTACTGAGTTGCAACCCGTGTCTAGAGATGCCGCCGAGGATATATTTTTGCGTTTTTGCCTTTTGCTGTTCGTTTTTCAAACACTTACACTGAAGGCTTTCTGGATATCGAGGTTCTGTTGCATAAGCCTCCTTAAATCTGCAAGGTCCTTTCCGAGTAGATCTACTTTGGAGGTATTCTACTTCGCACAGGTGTGTGAAAGATGCGCTACACCACCTTTTACATTCCTCCCCTAACAAATTACTCTTCTTCGCTCTGAAACCCATCCACATGCGGCGATTTTAATCACTCGCATAGTCGTAACGTCCGTTCGTGTTTCTTGGCAGGCTCACCATGGTTCTTTGGACTAGCAGCTGGAACAGATGAGCAAACATCATGAGCAATGAATATTCAGGGGTAAGTAGCAATCCAAGATATCAAAATAATATTGGATCACGTATCATAATGTTCTTGATAATGTGATATTATAGGAGCATTTGTCGACTGTTTAGTATCACTTCAGTTCAGTTCAGTTTATTGAGGGAGATGGAGGCGTTCACCTTTGAACTAAATATTTATTTACAAGCAACTGCGAAATCTCAAAATTTCGAAAATTTAACTCGATATTTGTAACAAATAATCGGAAAGCGACAGATCTCTACAGACAAACAAACTGTCTCGAATAGTAACAATACGAGCAGTTGTAGAGCGGTCGTTTCGAGTGCAGGGAAAAAAATAATAAACCCGGGGACAAAATTTGCATACGTGCATGTGAGTAAGCGTAGGCGATCGGTTGGAGGCAATAGAAATTCAATTTAAATTGTTACTGAAATATAGTAAGTAGTATTATAAGAGCGAAATTTGTCGAGGCTTCAGAGATCGGGTGGTAATTTAGTGGACACTTCTACATAAATACAGCATCCTCTTAAAAACCTCGACGGAAGCAGACATAACGACATCAACATGCAGGGCGTTCCAGGCTTTAAGCACTCTGTTAGAGAGGAAGAACTTTCGTGTGTCGAAGCTGGCCACTTCTACACGTAGTTTGAATGGATGGCCTCGTAGGTTTGTGATGGTTGCTAACTCGAAGGAGTCTCCCGGTACGTGGCTGCAGTCCTGAAT